ATAGAATGGACACACGCAAACAGAAATACTCAGTCGAGCATTTATAAAATGGTAAAATATAATTAAAAAAGTATCAAATGTATAGACAACTAAAATTGCTACACAATGTGCCACTTTAATCATATTTTCAGTTTTAACCACGTTACATAAAAAATGTTTTCTCACCTTACACTAAACTAAAAAAAACTGTTTATCTAAAGGCATTTTAAGCATTAAAATGTTTTTGCATAAACCAAGCGGACTAAAAAAATTAAATGTAAATCACATAGCTGGATGAAAGCTTAGCTAATCCTGCATGTGATGGGTCGATGGGAGACAGTTAGCTGTGTGGTCAGCCATCATGCTCTGAACTCCCATGCTCAGGGAGGAGGGAAGGGTAGAGAAGAAAACAGGAGTTAGAAGAAGAGAAGTTCAAAGATCAAAAAACGGGTACAGAAAAGGAGCAGGGGGAGAGGGGTGGCATGCCCTGGCTGAGCCACCGTGCTACCTTGTTCCACCAGCCCTGCGGTGGTGCCGGCGGCTGCAGCCACTGCTGCTGCAGCGGCTGTCACAGAGGCTGGAGAGGTGGTCTGCCTGCTGCCCACTGTTAAGAATCCAATACCCAGTCACACGTGAAGAAAACAAGTTACAGGTCAAGGAGGAGAGGAAGGGGTCCAAGAGGTGATGGATGAAGTAAAGGGTGGAGGGATGTTCAGAATGGGAGAGTAGAAGGTGACGTGGAGGGTGTGAGCAAGTCATCAGAAGTAAATGAACAGGGTTGGGAAATGATAGGTGAGATACAAAAAGTGGAACAGGACTAATTATTGAGGAGAAGAGGGATTCATTTATACACACAGACCAGAAACATTACGAGAAATTCCGTCATGAATGCGCTGATCAGACGAGAAGGTCAGGAGAGAAAAATGTCAGGGAGAAACACCAATCTTATCTTTTATCTTATTGTTTAAAACTTGCCTTTCAACTACTGTATGTGTTTCCTCAGGAAAAGCATTAATGTTAGTACGATGATGATGGTAATGATGCAGAGTTTAGCTGATGCTAATGACGGTTATCGTGATGGAGCTAGCTGACCTTAGAAACTGCCAGTCTCAGTTAGGACTGAGTGATTGAAAATATCACAGCCGTGGGGAAAAGAAAATCCGCCCTCCGTCAAGTCTAGAGCTTTATGAATCAGGGCACAATGACAAACAGCTGGTCTTTACCAGGTTTTAAAAATTATTGAAGTCCAACCTCAAGTGTACAAAAACACACAACAGAGTCCACTGTGTCATTATTAATTAAAAACAAATCTAAAATGATTGCAGCATTTCAGTTAAGATTGAGGTCTGAACTTTGACTGGACCATTGCAACACATTGAGAATGCTGTCCCAGTTTGGTTCAAGCTTCAGCTGTTGGACAGATGGCCTCACATCTGACTCCAGAACCCTTTGGTCCACAGAGGAGTTCATGGACGACAATGACTTCAACGTGCACAGCTCCTGTGGCCGCAAAACAAGTCCAAACCATTAGCCGTCTACCACCATAACAGGCAGTATGAGGTTTGAAGATTAAAGCGACAGGGTCCTGGAGAGCCCTCATGGCCCGCTGAGAATCTCAAGAGGACGCCGAAGACATATACAATCGGATTTATGATAACGGGTTTCCTGCTTTTTGGAATCGGCTGGTCCCTGGTCTATCAACATACAAGAAGACACCTGCAGCTAATTTGGCCCTCGTCAGGCAGCCTGCCTTGTGAAGGTTTGGTTCGCTATTTGAGGACACAAAATCAGCTGATTTACAAGCTAAACCGTAAGATGGAAGTGATTTGCGAGAAACTTGGACCACCTGCGGCTTTGGGACTCGCCAGCATGTTGGAAACAACCTTGGAGGGGCTCGTAAGCAGGGACCAGTGGAATGCACCCTAATCTGGCCATTTTGAATCTTGAAAGTACCAGTAAGACTCAAGGCTGACAAGAAAAAATAGTCTGCCTGAAAAAAAATGAACAATTGTGGCTAATCTGAATCTGACTCCCCCGGTTGGCCTTGAAAACAGGCCGACTTATCAATTTCTCCTGGGAAATGTGTAAACTAAGGAAAAGCTTCATCTATCGCAACCCCCAACATCTCCCCCCCCCCCCGATTCTGATTCTGGTGATGCGTTCACTAAACGTGCTGCTGTGTATTATGGGTAATCATGTCTGCTTTGATCTCATCTGTCCAAAGGTCATTGGTTCAGAAGTCTAAGGTTCATTCAAATGTCACTTTATAAATCTAATCTGTGTTGCCATTTTCTTCTTAGCGAAAATAGGTTTGCTCCTTCTAAACAAGTCAAACGTCTTCAGTCTTTTTCTAATTCTCCTGTCATGAACTTTAACATTTAACCTGCTGAACGAGGCCTGTCAAGTTTGAGATGGAGCTCTTATTTTAGCTAATTTTTCCGAGCATTGTGCAGTCTGACCTTGGGGTGAATTTGGTAAAACAGACCTTTCTAGATAGACTGGCAGCTGTTCTTAATGTTTTTCCACTTGTGAATAATATTTCTCTTTTTGGAATGATGGACTCCAAATATAGAAATTACCTTTAACTCTTCCTGGATTGACTAGCAGATCTGCTTCCCTAAGGTGATTGCCGATGTCTTTCCGTATTGGCATCATGCTAGCACACACCTACCTGCATGCTTTAGGTCAGCAAACTGATAAAACGTATGTTTTTACAGATGTGGACACACTGATGAGGATCAGTAGCATCTGGTTGATAATTCCTTTAATATGTTCTAATGAAGCAGCCAGGCTGGGCTGAGCTTTTCTCCACACGATTTTTTATTTTTATTTTTGTTTTATCGTTTAATACATGACATGGTGGACTCTGCTGTGTACAGTTGAGGTCAAATTTAGAGAATTTTAGAATCCTGATTAAAATCAGATCTTTTTTTTTTATTATGTCCTTCTACATAAAACTCTAAAATTAAAAGTGTGAAGTTTCATTTTCCCATGACTGTGTGTCACTGTACTCTTGGCTGCTTTACTTTAAATATACCGTAGTATTTTGGTTCTTGAAAAATGGTAGAAATGTTTTATTTTAAACAAACAAATAAAATAAAATAAAAATATATAACTATGTATGGAAGGATTACATGAAAGGAACTGCATCCATAATTCAAAAAGTATCCTAAATATATAACTACCTAATTCAAAAAGCACATTTACTGGTGTTTGCTTTGACGTAATCGGCAACATCTTCTCACTGAAGACTCCGATATTCCTCTTTTCCTATTTTATAGTTCTTTTTCATTCTCTGACTCATTCACCTGATAGCCTCACACTTATAATGGAGTGCCGGTCCCTAAGAAGATGAAAAAGAGCGAGAAAAGGTAGAAATGATCAGTTATACACCTGGGTCAGTGTGTGTGTTTTTGAACGTGGGAGTTAGTCGAGTGTTTCTTTTTTTCGGTTGATCTTGAGCCAGTTTCCAACTGTGCAGCTTACAGAGTCAGGAAGCCCACTGTGAGTCATGTTTACTAAAGCAGCATGTTAGCACTGGCACACACACAGACACATACAAAATACACAGATATTATACATAAACGTGCACCGATAATTTATTTTTTATTAGATAGAACGTTCAACAATCATCAAGACGTTTCCAAAACCGCTTTTTCTGGAAAGTATTTTATTTTTAAACCTGAATTTCACTTGCATTAGAAGTTAGATTTTCCAGGTTTTAATGGTTCATAAGAGCAAACACATCCACCATTATCGAAATGTTTTCATTTCACTGACCACAACAAAGCTGAAAGAGCCTCGACGAGTCACCTTTGCTCATGTTTGAATAAGAAGTTAGGAAGAAAAAGTGTTGTCTCGAGAAATCAATTAGTAAAATTATTTAGGAAGGTTGGGGCCAAGAAGCAGCAAACCTTTTTCATATTTCAATTATGAAAAGTTTACAAGTAAAACAAATGAATAAGAATAAAAAAGTCAAGTAATACAGTAAAATATAGACATACAAAGACAGGAACAAAGACATTAATGCATCTTCAGCTTGCGGATCAAATTCAGTGCTTCCCCCACAGTTCAGCCAAACTAAAGAGGCTCAGTTACTTCAAAAATAAAAAAAAATTAAAAATAACAAAACCTTACGTTCTCAAGTTTTGGAGTGTTTACAATAAGGATTGCCAGTTTCTTTGCAGTTAGTACTTTGTTTTATTGTGTAAACAAACTATCTAGAAAACATTTTGCAGGTCGCCGAAATGTTGATGCCTTAAAATAAAAGTAAAGTAACAATTCCTAAATAGTATCTTGTTAAATCAAACAACGATGCTCTTAATCTGAGAGATTTGAGTGTTACCAAAACATCAGGAAAGTTTAGGGGAAACACTGAAGCTGAGCTGAGATGAAATGACAAATGTGATTTCGCTTTTAATAAACATGCCTTAAAAACTAAAATCAAAATATTACTCTAAGACAGTGGTTCCCAATCCTGATCCTTGAGGAACACCATCCTGCATGGTTTAGTTGCTTCTCTGCTCCAACACACCTGATTTGAATGCACGGGTGATTAACAGGCTTCTGCAGAACTTGAGGAAGTGATTAAATCACTGAATCAGGTGTGGAGCAGAGAAACAACTAAAATATGCAGGATGGTGTTCCTCAGGGACCATGGTTGGGAACCACTGCTCTCAGATCAAGGGAGAAAGATTTATTCAAAATGTTGCAGGTGATTTAAAAAAGTGCAAGCTGTCATTTTGATGTAAAAAGAATATTCATACGTCCTGCCTTTTAGTTAGTGTTACATTTTCCACCACCTCTAAGCTGGAAGACAATTGGTTGAACTGGGAACTTTTAAAAGCAGGATTTTTTAATTCAATCAACGTGATGACGTGCACCAAACAGAATGTAACAAACTAAGCAATAACAGATTCTTATCTTATCTTAATCTTTATTAGATTCTGCTCTACTCACTAGTTCAAGGATATACTGTAGCTTTAAACAGAAACCAATGAGACGAAAAAAAAAAACCTTACCTGAGAAATTTCGAGAAACCAGCATGGTAGTAAGAATGGCCCCCTGAAACAAACAAACAGCATTAACAATTTTTAAACTAAATTTAAACCATAATTATTTTGTCATTCGTTCTAAATGACAAACGCTGCGCTCAACATTCATTGTTCATAAGTTTGAGTTTTGTCCTCAACATTAAAAAGAAAACCCTCTTTTTGGATGGTTTTTGACTCGCAGCAGGCGGGACATCATTACGAGCAGAAATCAAAGGAAAAACTACTTTTAATTAATGATATTCAGTTGACACGTGATTAAATGTGCGCCCACGCTGCACACGAGCAAAAGACAAAATCAGAGTCTGCTGTGACTGATTAACACAAAAGACGTGGTTCCAAATGAAAGGGTTCCTGAAATTGCAAAGAGAAACTTAAAAAGAAAAGAGTTCTTAGATTGAAGTTCTTGCATCTTTTTACAGTTTAATTTATAATGAATTAAGAAAGAAAAGACCAAGATTAAAAAAAAAAAAACTTTACAAGGTAGAAAAATTTACTGTGCAACAACAAGACTGAGCCAAACAAAAAGCCACAAACTAAGAAAACGTGAATACGGACTAAATGTGCAACATGAAGTGTGTGAACCTGATAAAAAATAGACCAAAAAAGAAAGGAAGTTAGAAACAGTGATGAGTGAAGCAGCTAGTTTTTACACTTTTCTGTCAAGAGTTTATTTACAGCTCGAGGTGATAAATTAGCACTGAATTCAAACCAGATTACATCATGTGAGCGCTGCAGACATGTTACAGTGCATATCTAAACAAATACAAGAAAGCACCCTTCATACTTCATACATATAAATTAAATGAGCTCAATACGTACAAGGACTATTTTTTATTTGCTTCACGAAAAGTCTAGACATTTATTTTAGAAAAGCAATTAAACAAAAAGCTCAAACTCTCAAATCAATGCCATATTTGGGTTTTTAAACCACAATGATCCGATTCATCACCTTTTAATTTATTTACAGTACAGTACTTTTCCCTTTTAAATGATTTGAATTAAAATGTCTCCAGTTTTTGTTTTTCTGCTGTCAACACTGAACCCGAACGACCAACCTCTCAGTGTCCATCTATCTTTAAGTGTGAAAAGCCCGAGAGAATTGGATGAAGCTGGTGGCACGTTAGCTGAATGGTGCAACATTTGCCCGGGGCCACCTGTGTTTCTGTTTCCAGCTTCCTATGAGCTGGTATTTGAGCCGAGCCAAGAGAGGCCAAAAGCAACGGGGTAACAGTGTCATGCTCCAATAGCTAAGCCGTTATATCCACACAAAATGTCAGCAATAAATCAGTGTAAGAACAAACTCTGTACAATAACTTTAAACCTCAATTTTAATTTGCTTCCATTTAACTAGAGTATTTACTGAGCTTGATATTCACGATCACAGCGATCCAAACAGGACTCACAAATTCGAGCTAAACAAAAACACTTCATTATTTTAGTAACTACAACACACCAGAGAGGACGTTACAGAATAAAAGATGGGTAGAAACAGAAACTATTTTATAATTGTATCTCGCATGAGAGCTTATTAGAGAAGCAAAGCAAAATGTAGGAGAGGGAAAGCAAACAGACCTTGAGTTTCCTTCTGGCATTGAATTTCTTCAGACACTCCACAGTCTCCTGTCGGTGCATCATTGACGCCACTGTGGACCGTTGCTGGGACCAAGAGAAAAGGTAGGAGGAAAGAACAAGATGTAAAACAGTCTGTTAACTTAGCTTTTTATGTTGTGGTACAGACATCATTCAAACTGTATTAAGTGCTTTTAATATCTCAAGTTGGGACACTTACGCAGACCCATGGGTGCTTGAGGGCCTCCTGAGCAGTGATCCTCTTGGCTGGGTTGATCGTCAGCATCTGGTTGATCAGGTTCTTTGCCTCGGGGGTGACTGTGTCCCACTCTGGGGATGGAAACTGGAAGAACAGACAAAACAAAACTGCTTCACATTTTCTGACAGAGTACTTAATAGTAGTTACACTAGTAAACCACAGTGGTTACCGTTTGCCTCCATATATGGCACTTTGCTGCTGATCTCATGCTGCTGTATTCATTCATACCCATCTGCTCACCACAGACTCATGTTCGGGCTGCTGTTGATATGCCGTATTGTTTTACATTAGTGTTTGGCGTATATCTTAGATCTTTTAGCGTACCGTTTGGCGTTTGTTGAGCATATATCTTAGATCCTTATACACTGTTACTTTTACCACTTTGTATTTTTGGGTGTAACTGGGACCCTGAGTATCAGTACATAATTTTGTTCCACCTCTTGTACCACATGTGATGTGAATGACGATAAACTTGACTTGAACTTTGCCACTGTCTCAACTCTCCTCGGCTCTGCACCACAGAGCACCAGTTAAGGGCCTGCCCACTGTCGGTACCCAGCCCAGTTTATGGGATCACCTTGTTTGAGGTTCCAAGTGAACTGCTCAGAGGTGACGATTTGAACGTAAGCAGACAGCAATCATTGATTGGCCAGTGGAGCTACATTACTGGATGACCCGCTCAGCAAAACTGGAAACTACATCTGAACCTCCACTTCTTCGTCGGGTTGACAGACGGCGCTACAATAAATGAGCACCTTTACAGAGAGATATTGGAGATGATGGCACAGCTTGGATACACCCAGACTTATAAGCAGTGTCAGCATTAGCTAAAGAAGTTGATGTCCGATTAAAGGGCAATTAAGAATCACAATGAATGAAATGGCTTAAACACAATGATCTGTTACGATACTGTCCACAGAGCGGGGAAACAAGTCACAGTGGCAAATCACCTTCACCTGAGAAGAACCGATAAGACGAGAGCCAAGTGGAGTTGCGCTTACCAATGGCAAAGGGGCTATAGTGACTTCACATGAGAGCAATGATTTTAATCAACGGTTCTTTAGGGTTTTTAGAGGGTATTGAGAAGTTTTGGATAAATTTTAACTTGTTTTCTGTCCATAGCATGACCATTTTTAGAGTTTGTTTTTAGTTAAGCTGCTGAACTTAGGTCTAATAATCCCTTAGACATAAAAATGCTCAAAGTCAGGCTCTGCATAACTTTAACAAGTGCTAAAAACTACCGTACATAGCTCATAAAAATAAAAATAAAAAACTCAAGCATATAATCCACCCATACATTTTTTTTTTTTACCCACTGCTTCCTTTCCGGATCGTGGGGGTCACTTGTGCCCATATCCAGCAGTCACTGCAGAAGAGACGGAGTACAAACAAATTTCCAGCTCTGCTTGTCCCAACTTTTTAATTTTTGAATAATAGGTCATCTGCTTGTGGGAAATGTCCTAAGTCAGATTTGAACACTGGATGCAGCCAGTACACATGGTTTCAACATGTTAGCTATGGCGGCTCTCTGTGGGTGGATTGTTTAATACCACAAAACAGGCTGGTCCAAGCATGGCCCCAGCATTTTGTTCAGAAACCCTTGATCTGTAAAGACCTTCTGTGTCTAGGCATAAACACTGAGGTCTGCACCCTGTGAGCCCAGAATCATTGCCAGAGAGCCAGTCAAGTTCTCTCTTTATTTGGCATGAAGTTCAATGTGATCTATAGCGAGACTCCCCTTTCTGAGTCTTGCACCCCCTGAAATATGAATGAGGTGACCGCGTTACGTAACAGTTGCCAAAAAAGAAAGAGGTCAGCAGGAGGAGCAGGGAGGGCATTACGACGGAAGAGGAGACTCACATCATAAGCCCCAGCCTTGATCTGTTGGTACAGCTTGTGCTGGTCCTCATCCCAGAAAGGAGGGTAACCCACCAGCAGGATGTAGAGAATCACCCCTGAGACACACACACACACATACACAGAATAAAACACACACACAAATAAAAACATTAATTAACTATTCTCTGTCAAGTTTCTGTTTTTGGTGTGTAATCATCCAGGAAACACCATATAGGCTTGTTGTGCATGAATGAGTGTGCTCCTCTACAACTCACCGCAGGCCCAGATGTCCACAGGTTTGCCATATGCCTCCTTTCTCAATACCTCAGGGGACAGGTACCCTGGGGTGCCAGCAAATCCTGCAGGAAAAACCCATTAAAAATTGACTGACATGCCCAGGGCAGTAGATTGTGTTGCTGCTTTCTCAGGAAAAGCATGAAAAGATAATCTTGTGTAAGCCTTCAGCTGTTGGTCCAAACGGAGGAGGAAAGCTGAACGTCTTGTTTGACAATCGCTGACTGGTATCTGTGTTGTACTAGTGACTGAAATCAGATGAAGGAAAATAATCTTACAACTGCCAGACTCATCCAAATTGATTTATTTTTTTATACTAATCTTAAGTACACTAAGAACAAAAACTTGTAGTACCCAGATCTTAATCATTTTACTGAAGGTTTTGCTGACAAAAATATTGGAGAAAAAAAATCAAATTGTTAAAAAACATGAAAGCTAATTTAAACAGCTGTGTCAATTACTTATTACTAACTGAATAAATGAGTGTTTTTTGTGTCATATGTATTTGTATTTTGGTTTTATGAACGCAAGAAGGTCTGAATGGGATACTATCTCATCTCTTAGGTTCTATGGATCTCTTGTTACAGGAAGACAAGACCTGGTTGAGATGCCAAAAATATAAACAAAAAGCAGATTGTTAATAATAAAATTATTTAAAACTAAAAGATTAAACAATATATAAGAAACAGTTTAAAAACAAGAGGGAAGAAGGGAAGGGTTTGCAGTACCATACTAACTAAATCCAACAGTTTGAACTTTCAGTTCAGTGAAGGCATCATGACTTGAAGTTAAAAATAATTTTAAATAATTGAATGTGGATTTTCATCTACTCAAGAGTTGCAAATATAATTTATCTTGCACTTCAGAAGAACAAAAGCTTTTTTTTTATTATTTAAAAGGCCCAAAACAGAGATAGAATTACACCTTTGAGGAGCTTTTGCTTCTTAATATCTTGTCGTCAACCCTTACAACATGCACGTGAAATGTACTCCTGCATGTATTGCACCTACCAAACCAGGCCTGCTGATCCCCCTGCACCTCAATGGCCAGGCCAAAGTCAGCAAGCTTCACTGCGGCGTTCTTACATTTGCTCGCAAGGAGCAGGTTCTCAGGCTGAAAAGAAAACGAGGCCAAACGGTTATCTAACATTTGTACATTTCTTGTGAAGTAAAAGCTAGAAGCAGGTAGCTACGCATGCAGAGTTTGCAATGGAGTTCACTGCATTCAGCTCAGACAAATGCTTGCAAAACAACTTTTAAAAGACGCATTGATACGTAAAGACTTAACAGCAGAACTTGGTCCATATTTCAGCAGAGTTAAACTCAGTATGCCTGCATTTCTTTTCTGCCCAAGCCTCGTGTGATGAGTAGAGGCTCTATAGGCTCCATCGCTGTGGCCTACATAATGCAGCTAGCCTCATTATTCTCTGTCAGAGGAGAGCTCCAATAATGGGCATATATCCCCACAGGTCTATGTTCGGCTCTCACTTTTTATCACTTTATCTCACAAAATCATTGCATCTGTAAAGGTAACTGGCAGCTTTGATGGGAAAATAACGGCCACCAGCAGGAACTAGTAACACAAAATACCTTGCAGGGTAACTTTAATTAATGTCCAATACTCCTGATACTTGGTAGTCGCCAGTATACCCAAGATTATCTTTGCAGAACAAGTATGTTCGTTAGTATTTAATCAAATTGGTTATAAAATAATTTATCTGCCTATTTAAACAATTCCAGTTGATAAATGGACAGTTAGATTAGCTTACTAATGACAATTTGTCAACACCAACACAAACTGTGTAACATTTTTCAATATAATGTCACAATGTAAGTTAGGTTCTTTGGTCCTGCCCGTTTACAAGTTTATGCTTTATAGCAGGTATGACTCAAAGAACTTTAGGTTGTCTCCAGTTTTAGTTGGTGCTTGCTGTTTTGAGTTAGAAAACTGTTTGACCTTCTTAAAATTAAAATATGCCAAAACCAAGACCAATGTGGCAAACAATTAATAAAAGCTCCTGTCAAAATTTGTTAACTTTCCTATTACTCATGCTTCTATGAACGGATAAGCTAAGATCTGGATGGGGCAATCCGAACATGCACGTGCCAACGAGACCAAAAGTAAAAAGTCCAGAGATCAATTGGTGACATTTTTAGCTCTCTTGCCATTGCAAAACAACAACAAAAAAAGTATTGATAAAAGCAGTAACTAGTGCCCTTGTTTTTATACTTGGTTAAAATGTCACACGAATTGTTTGACTGTAGCTGGTAACAAAGCTTTTAAGTATTCTGAGCAAATGTGAAACATATCAGTGATGTGAACTCTAATGCTGATGGCCTGATTCTTGCCTAGACGGTGTAGGTCTAGATGGTATTATTGGAGAATATTTTTGGAGCATATTTTTGGTGACTCTGAATCAATACTTGACCACTGCCACAGCCTTTTTCCTGCATTGGGGGGGGGTTCCATTTATGTGCACCACACAAAAGTACAGATAAGAGCCAGTAAACATCACTGAAACTTTTTTTAAAATTGGGCCAAACATGGCTGCACATCTTTGTTCAGTGGTAATAAACCACATTTGCAGAACAGACGTTCTAAACAGAAAGACATTTTGAGGAAAAAACTTCCTGGTTTGGTGCATAAATGCTCCCCAGTGATCAATGGACCAGTTGAACTTTAGGTCACTATAATCCTGGAGAAAACTTTAAAGTCAAGATAAAAGTCGTGTTTATGAGGCATACAATCAATGACTTTACGGACTTTCTTGACCGGTCACTTCTTTGTATAGAAATACGGGGGCGAGTATGAGTTCTAGTCTACGAGTGATCGTTGACCCCCAACATTTCCAGTCCAGCAATAGATGCACACACAGGTAACACATTAGCTGCAGTGTGTGCTACTTGTGTAGCCAACATAATGTTTATACAGGTAAAAAAAGTTTTCTCTTGACTTTTAGAAACTAAAGACTCTGAAGATCTAATTTATCTAATACATCTTTCCGTACTTCCAAATAGCTAATTAAGCAGTTTCCTGACTTGGACGTAAGGGAACAACAGTAATGCAAGTCTAAAGTTTCTAAACCGAAAGAATGAGGACATTATATTTATAGGCTACATTGCTGTCACAGCCTCCACTGCACTGCAGTACCATCAGTTTGCATTCCCTGCCTTCCTTTCATTGTTATCTGTTCTCTACTCATTTTAGAAAGTCCAAGGAGTAATATGTACCTAAGGCAGAGATCATTAAAGGTGTGCATTTTCCTGCTTTGAGCCCAAAAGGAAAAGGCAAAGTGTAAGAAAGCCACAAAAATCGTAATCCCAAAGCTCCGTGTCTCACGTTCTCCTGGCTCGAACGCTTGGTTGAGCCTTTTTTCCTTTAGTAAACCCGAGTTAAAACCTGCCAACACTGCAGCAGGAAGATAATCCGTGAAAATAAATGTGGGTGGAATTCACGATGAACCAACCACTTCAATCAAAAAGGTGCATGCACGCGACACAATACAACCAGGACACACATTCAAAACGTTAAGCAACAAACACTGCTGATTAACACAAGTGCACCTTCCTTTTTTAGGAAAATACAGTTCAGCATAAACACAGAGCTGTGCATACTGATGACTAGCAGCTGCTTTGGTTGAGGAGGGCGGAGAGGGACGGTTACAAATTATAGAAAAAGCTGAATTTGAGCGCAGGTCATGAGTGGGTGTCTGAAATGGAACGATTCCCAGTCCCAGATTTCTCTCTTCATTTCTATTTATTGATCTGTAAAAACTCTGGACATGCTGCAGCATTTGTTTTCAGAAAACGTAACTGGGATGCAGCGCTACATTAAAAAGGCACTTCGTTTAAAAAAAGATAGCTGCAGTGCAGAATGATACAGCTGGAATTTGCTTCAGATTTACAAAAACAGAGCTAAAGTCACAATTCACCTTCATCACACCTGAAATAAACACAGATTTGACATCTTTTTTAAAATTATTATCTGAGCAACAGTTGCATTTAAATTATTAAAGGGAAGACACAGTTTGTGCACCAAAATTGTTTTTGTAGACGCAAAGACGAAACCTCTCTGTTATCATCCCACTTGCCATATCCTTAGTCCTAATTTGAGGGATGGTGTCAGTTGGGGCGTCCTCAGTCATCACACTATGACCTATTGCACGAAATGCTCTCCAGTGCGTGGGCATGAAACAAGATAGGTGTGTGAGCTAAATAAAGACTTTGACACAACAGCTCTGATAAACACAACGCGCCTTTTCTGGAATGCTGGGACTGACATTTGCATAGAGGTCTACATGACAAAGTGCATCATGCAAAACAAGATGTGACACACAGGCATACACAAATACCAGCAGGTACAACACGGAGCAGACTAAACAGGTTGATTTATAGCTCCTTCTACGTTGTTTCACATACAAATCTTATTAAAGAAGTTGATATAGGAAACTAAACGGTATCTTGAGCTCAACAAAACCTCTCAAGTGCACTGAGGGCCGTGTGGATGAAATGACACGTTATCCTCAATAAAACATCTTTAAATTTACCATTGGCTCTTGGTTTGTAAACCTAAAAATAAAAGCGTACTATAAAAGCAATAAAACCAACATCACAAGGTAATCTTTTACAAACGAAAACGAGCTGTCATGTTTGGGTCATCTGCCCATCTATAAACCACACAGGGTTATCTGATAATCAATAGACAGCATTTCTCTCTGTCGAGTAAATGAAACCAGAGCTAAGATTTAGTGGCCCCTTGGCTGATATTAAACTGAACAGCTGTGCAGCGACAGAAATCCTGTTACAAAAAGGTTACATAGCAGATGGATTGGCCAGTTAGAATGACCTGCATTGCATGCTTGGAATTGTTGAATGCTTCAAATCTTTATATGCTTAGGATGATGTTTACACAAGGTGGCTTTAAAGTGCTGGAGCTTTTAAATGTTAAAAGAACACTGGAGTAATGTCTGACGCATAACGACTGCTTTACCTTAAACATGGCCAAAAAGTTTTACCTGAACCCTGACGTCTTTCCATCTATATAAACTATTGCAATCATCCTCAAGTGTAAAAATACTGTAAAATTTTAAGCAGAACTCAGAAGGAATGAGAATTTCCACAGATCTTGATAACTCTTTGCAAGCGACTTCCCCGGTTTCTTGTTAACAGAACAGAAACCCACTGGATACAGAAACGACACGACCACAAACTCCAGTTACACAAATACACAACTCTGAAGGGACAGCAAAGCGGTTCTCATCACTCACCTTCAGGTCCCGGTGCACCACGCCCATTTGATGGCAGTGAAGCACTGCCTCCAGGATCTGCTGGATGCAATGACTGCATGCAAACACCAAGGGGAGGGGGGCGCATGTTAGTCTTAGCGGCGCTTCAAACCCGTGCACAAGGCCAAGGGAGAGCAGAAAGGGGTGGGAAAATAGGTAGTGGGGAAGAGATGAGGGATAATTCAAGAACTCTTCTGTTGCCAAGTGTCTAATTTGTTAACGGTTAGAATAAGTCCAGGATTTTTTAATGATCTAGTTTATGTTTATTAAAATACTTTTCCGAGAGTTGTGTTATCTTAACAACCTACTTTTTTGTGAACATCTCGAGAATAATTTGCTACATCACGTGAATTTGTGATGTTATTTATAAGGTTTTGGTAAATGGATGTGTTGTGTTGGAAGTGCACAGGTGCGCTGCAACAGAAGACTCCTTTACACTCATCTACCGTAATCAACAACAATTGACTATCAGCTATAATATTTTTTTAAAGAAGTAGACTCTTGCATTTGACAAACTCAATTTTATTTTGGGGCCTGCAGGTACCCTGCTGCCAGTCATGTTTTAACCAGCAGGCCTTGGAGGGTGAAAGGGGGATGTGAGAACATGGTTGGCCACAGGGGGAACAGAAAGCGTTAAGTGAAAGACCGAGTCATTACACAATCAATAACATTTGACATATGTCTGTGGTGGGCTCTGCTAGTACAATTACACAACCTGGTGTTTGGAATCCACCAGAAACTACAACCAAAACCCAAAAAACTGTGAGAGGAACTGAAAGGTAATCAAGACGTGATGCACAGACTAGACAATATACAAAAGGGTTAACTATATACATATATGATACATATGATGAGACAGACATGTAGAGCCATGTTTATTGTCTGGGTCCAGCTGTGGGATGAGGGCTACACTTACAAACATTTAAATAACCACAAGTGAACACACATATGGACAACTGAATGTGCCTTTTTGTATGACAATACCATGACCATGTATGAGTGCTTCCTGTGCACTGACATTAGTATGTTTACTTTTTGTTTAATTGATTAAATTTAACATGTACTGTTGAAATTTAATAGCCACAATAAGATAAGCTTTACTCATTAATGTCAGAGATTTAGATGTTCGTTCCTTGAGGTTTTGTACACGAAGGCTTGTTCTGTGGTGACAGTTTCTTTGTTTATAAAGTGTTAAAACAGCCATTACTCACTCAGTATGTGTCAAATAAAACTATTGTAGCTGTAGTTACATGACATGCGCTATAATGTTACGAGCTGACAAACAAAGCTGCATGTAAAAATGATTCTTTTGAGGGAACAAACACCAGAATTTGTCGGCTTGTGCTACACAGACCAAAACTGGCATTCAATGGGAAACTGAGTAGTAGTAAATATGCAGTCAGGAACTTACACAGATGAATAAAGTGAAGCCTTCAGACTTATTCCAGAGCCCAGGACTTGTTTATTTGAAACATTTTGATAATCCTTTGTGGGTTTGATTTGATGAGCATCCAGTTTGGATTAAAATTTGTCAGATAAGCCAGTCCTGTGCTGAGGAAAAGGAGTACAGGATTTACTTCAGTCATTCTTCTTAAACCAAACACTACCATAAATTATGATGTGTTCGTAGATTTCTTAAAACAATTGCTTCCAGTCTTCAAATGTAATAAAATCAATGCTTTAAAACTCCTCCTCAAATCCAAGCAACCAACAGTCCAGTGTTTGGTGTCTAATTTTCAATTAAACTATTAAACTGTTAAAAATACGTATTTGACAATATTAAAAATATTAAAACTTTGAGTGTCTCACTGAAAGTGTCCTATGATTAGAGCAGTTTATTGATCCTTACATATTAATTCTTACCCTGTTTTCTAATCATCTATACAAAGTATTACTCTGTGGTATCTGATAGTCTGCTATCTTTTCAAAATGTCTAATTTATCACGAGCAGTTCTTCTAAATTGAGAATATTCACACTTTACGTTTGTGCATTATCGCTGAGTATGTCAAAGTTCACTGACAGTTTTTGTCACAACTTGTTTGCAGCTTGTTACCAGATAAATCTCATAAAAGTTATGACACATCGTTAAGTTCTGCTGTAAACTTCCACTTCTGTCATTATATCTCTACTTTTTATCAAACAAAAATAATTAATAAACAAATACTATCTAATAAACATCCTAACGTGTAATAATTTGAGGGAAACTATAAAACACAGCTCAATAAAACATGAGTCTGGTCAGTTTGTATGGAGGCTTTGAGGCTATGGCCTTCAGGCTGTACAGAAGATGTTGGAGTCAGTCTCCCCACCATCACAGACATCTACACCTCCAGATGCAGGAAGAGGGCCGCCTGCATCACGAAGGACCCCACTCACCCAGCACACACTTTTTGCCCCGCTCCCCTCAGGCAGGAGGTTGAAGAGCATCAAGTGTAAAACCACTAGACTGAGGAACAGCTTCTACCCTGAGGCTGTTAGACTCATTAATCTCTAACCAGGATAATCACTGTGAAAAAAAATCACTGCAATGCCACTTGACTGTTGATATGTGCTGCTGATTATCCATGTTGCTGATCTCATGCTGCCGATTTATTTCACGCTGTTGTGTTCATTCGTACTCATCTGCTCACACAAACTCATGTTCGTGCTGCTGTTGTTAAGCAGATTGTTTTTGTACTATTAGTGCTTAGTGTATTCTTAGTTTAGCGTATTTCTTAGTTCATATCTTAGATCTTATTACTGTTTTTCTTTACAATTTATACTTTTGTTGGATGGAACTGGGAGCCTGTGTACACAGTTTTGTTCCACCACATGTACCACGTGTGATGCGAATGACAATAAAGAACCTTGACCTTTGTGAGACAGTAGTACCCGAGAAAAACATGAGGAGAAACTCAAAACACACATAGGAGAGTGGAAGATGGACTGGTCTGAGTATAAAGTTCAGGGCTATAAATTAAGAGTCTGTGTCTCTTTTCCAAAGGTCTCCCAATGACTAAATACTGGGAAGGTCACATTTATACTGTACTGGTGTGTGTGTGTGTTCTGGGCAATCACTTGAGGACAACACCAACATGTGGCTGTAAACTGGCCATATTTTAGATATTATACAAGAACTGCTGTGTTTGTCTATTTTCTGTGCACAATTTGAACAGTTTTGCATAGTTTTTGTCTACATATTTACTAAACAGCATTTTTTAGTTCTATTGCCAACTCACAAGTTAACCCACTTTACAGTATTCTTCAAAGACTAAGTGGATAACTAGGTCGGCATATTGTTGCCATAAATGCACCGCAGGACCTAAAATAACCTGCTCTTTTTCTTTGCTGAACTGGATAGAAGGGATTACAATGAGCGCATAAAGGCACGATAAAACGAGCGCTTAGCTTGGTTGGAAAATTGTAAACTTAAACACATAGAAATGTAAGTTACGTGTTCTTGTCCATCTATAAAATTTGTGTGAAAAATGCAAAAACATGTGCCTTCTACGAAGATTTTCATTAAAACAAACTAAAAATATTTAAGGCATCAAACTCTGGCCTCTAAATATACAAATTATTGTTATGATAATAGCTTTTCTGCAGTCATAATCAACACAGCACAGTTAATGGTCTCACCCTGGAGACATAAAAGAAGTAGCATTTCCTGGAACTCCTTTTCAGAACGTACTTTAAACATCTTGTCCTTTATTAATCCAAAACCCTTGAGCTTTAAGAATGGGCATGATGGTAAGAAGGCTTAAATAATATCTTAGTGGGCTGCGATTGATGGAAACAAGTTGGTGAATGATATTTGCGAGGGAGTATTGCAACGTTTGTGGTCCTCAGTTAATTCATGAGTCACTGAGGTGCATAGTTTGGCAGCAACAAATAGGTCTTAAGATTACTTTAAGAAGTTTTTGTCAGTATTGGTACATCTCTTGATTGCTTTTACTGCTGTTTTAATTAAAAAAAAAGGCAACGAATTGTAATCAAAGTTGCTTAAATTCAAGATTTTCTGATTTTTCCTAAAACAAACGTAAAAAAAACTGTCTAGCAGCAGAGTTTGATGCACTGTTCATCAAAACATCTGATAATCCACTCATGATATTTAGACATGTGCAAACTAAATATGACAACCTGCTTGTAGTGGAAATATTTATCACCTCCTGTAATCTTTAGTAATGGGTTAATGGGAGATGAATAACTAAACTAATGATCACAGCATTCTACGATTTGTTGCACCCGTCATTTATGAGAACTAAATCAATGCTGCAGTGCTAAATATGAAGAACTGTTGTGATCTGCCTACATCACTAAAGCATTTAAAATATGTTTGATGCTTGATTTGAAGATATTACACCAAAGACTGACTCGGTTTTATAAACGCAAATGTACGTTGAAAATGGAGGAAACATGAAGTATTTAGGTGGTTTATGTCTAAAATCTCTGGTTTAAGAATATTCAAAGAAAGTCGTTTCTGGATTAATGATGCAGTAAAAACATCACACTTTCATGTGAAAGTGATGTTTTTTTTTTTTTTTCTAAAACTGCTAGATTAATCTGTATATTTTGACTTTAAGAGGATCACGTAGCACTAAGGATGTAAGAAGCATCAGTACAAACAAAATGTCAACTCAACAACTCATAACACAAAAACAAACAGTTACTGCTGTAAATGCACAATAATTCATAATTTAGGTTTTTTTAATCTCAAATCTCAGTCTTTTTATATTATGTTTAGTATATTGCTATTTTAAACCAAGAGCATATATTAGTTAAGGGAAGGATTTCTTATTTTTATGATATTAATAATCTTTGTCAAAGCTCTGCTCTCAGATACACAACTTTTTGTACAAATGGTCCTGTCTGCACTTTGAGCACTTTATTTTGCACTCTGGCAACAAAACTTCTCTTGAGTTTTTTCTACGTACCCTCAGATTTTTTATATTTTTTCTCCTTTTGGCTGCTCCCTTTGTCAGGGGTCGCCACATTGAACTAACTTGCACGAATCCTGGATAAGTGTTTTTACACCGGACGCCTTTCCTGACACAACCACAGACCACCGAGCTACC